TCGTTCACGCTTCTGGCCTCTCCGCAGCATAGAGGGGTTGCTGAGCGCCGCATTGGCTTAGTCATGGAGGTCACTCGTACCTCCCTGATCCATGCGGCTGCCCCCCATTTTCTGTGGCCGTTTGCGGTCCGATACGTCGTGCATCACCTCAACCTCTGGCCCCGTGTCTCCGTGCCGGAGACTTCGCCCACACTACGTTGGACGGGGGAGGTTGGCGATGCATCGCGTTTCCGGGTCTAGGGTGCTCGTGCCTTTGTCCGCGATCTCACTACAGACAAGCTCTTTGCTTGCGCCATTCCCTGTGTCTTCCTTGGCTTTCCTCCTGACGCGCCTGGCTGGCAGTTTTACGACCCCGCCTCGCGCCGTGTCTTTGCGTCTCAGGATGTCACGTTCGACGAGTCGGTTCCCTTTTACCGTCTCTTTCCCTACCGCACTGCCCCTCTCCCCCCCCCCCCCCCCCGCCGCTCTTTCTCGCTCCAGGTCCTCCCCAGGTAGACCCCCTCCCCCCTCCAGGTCCTGCTCCTTCAGGTGTGTCTCAGGTAGACCCTCCCTTGACTGAGCCTGTTGAGGTCACTGGTGACTCAGGTCCTACTGGGGGTGGTCCTGCTTGGGGTGCTGAGCCTGGGGGTGCTGAGCCTGGGGGTGCGGAGCCTGGGGGTGCTGAGCCTGAGGGTGAGGAGCCTGGGGGTATTGGGTATGGGGGTGCTGAGTCTGCGGGTACTACGCCTGAGGGTACGAAGGCTGCTGGTGAGCGGTCTCCTTGGAGTGGCCGCTTACGTAGTCACACTCGTCGGCGTGAGCCTCTCTCCCCACAGCAGCTACACGAGTGGTACGCTCACCATCAGGGTCGTGCTGCTGGAGCTCAGGGCTCTCCCACTGGTGGCACTTCTGCTGACGTCCCTGGAGCTGGGGGTGCCGGTTCAGAAGGTACTGGAGCTGGTGAGCGAGGAGCAGGCGACGCTGGAGCAGCTGGGTCTGAGGACCCTGGAGTTGGTGGTACTGCTGACCTTGCCGCAGGAGGTGCTGTTGGCGCTGCTGGCGCTGGAGCTGGGAGTGGTGCTGGTACTTTGTCTGCTGGAGGTGCTGGAGTCGCTAGTCCCGGAGGTGGTCGTACTGGAGGTACTGGAGTTGCTGGGCCTGGAGGAGCTGCTGGACCTGGAGGTGCTGCTGTCGACCCTGGAGCTGGAGGTGCTGGGTCTGAGGGTGCTACTGCTGGTGGCGCTGGTACGGGAGGTACTAGCGCTGGAGGTTTTGCAGCTGCTGGTGGCGCTGGTACTGGAGGTGCTGGCGCTGGAGAATCTGGAGCTGGAGGTGCTGGCGCTGGAGGCGCTGGAGCTGGAGGCCCTGCTGGAGTTGGAGGTTCTGGAGCTGCTGGAGGTGCTGGAGCTCCTGGTGCTGGTGGTGCACAGCCGCAACTGTTCTTTGCTCCGCCGTCTCCGTCGTCTCTGCCACCGCCTGACTCCGTGCTTCGCCAGGTTCTTAGCCTCCCGTCTTCTACTGGTCTTCCGTTACAGACTGGCTCACCACTGCCTGCTTCTTGTCCTTACACTGAGCAGACAGGAGGTCTTGCTGAGCGTCGTGAGCCTCCGTCGCGTCCTATCGCGCTTGTTCGTTCTGGTCAAATCGGTCGTCGTGTTCCTCGTGAGCGTCCGCCTGCTGTTCCCAGCACGCACCCTATGTTTCTACGTCCTTCCTCTGTTCCACAGCGTGTTCCTCTGCCGTCTCCTCCTGCGTCCTCTCTGCCTGACGTTCCGGACCCTGAGTCTGACCTAGTTCGTGCTGCTCACCCTACTGTCACGCGTCTGCTTGCCACTGTTGTCACTGACCCTTCGTTTGAGTCCACTGCTGCGTCTGCCTTGGTCGCTGAGCTTGTTGACTTTGCTGCTGTTTGTTCTCTAGACTACGCTGCTAGTCTTGTTGCTAAGTCTGAGTTTATTTGTCCTCCGTCCGTCGAGGGTGAGTGTGCTCTTGGCACGGACGTCTTTGAGGACAGGCAGGAGGACTTTGAGTGTCTTGCAGCCACTGTACCTCATCTCGTGGCCATGCTGCTTGCCTTTGAGGGAGACCCGGATGCACCAGACATCCCGACCCCGCGCTCTTACGCAGAGGCGATCGCGGGTGAGTACTCCTCTCAGTGGCAGACAGCCATGGACGCAGAGATGGCGTCCTGGAAGTCCACAGGCACTTATATCCGTGAGGTTCCCCCTCCTGGGGCGAACATCGTCGATGTCATGTGGATTTTCAGGGTGAAGCGGCCGCCGGGTTCTCCGCATGTCTTCAAGGCTCGTTACGTTGCTAGAGGCTTTAGTCAGCGTGAGGGAGTTGACTTCTTCCAGACCTTCTCCCCCACCCCGAAGATGACCACTCTTTGGGTGCTGCTGCACGTTGCCGCTCAGCGTGACCACGAGCTTCACTCTCTTGACTTCAGCACAGCCTTCTTACAGGGCAGTCTGCACGAGGAGATCTGGCTGCGCCGCCCACCTAGCTTCACTAGGTCGTTTCCTCTCGGTACCCAGTGGAGCCTCCGGCGGCCAGTCTACGGTCTCCGTCAGGCGCCTCGTGAGTGGCACGACACACTGAGGACTACGCTTGTGGCTCTTGGGTTTGCTCCTTCGACAGCTGACCCGTCGCTGTTTCTGCGCACCGACACTTCCCTGCCGCCGTTCTACATCCTCGTGTATGTCGACGACTTGGTCTTTGCCACTGCTGACACTGAGGCTCTCGCCTTGGTGAAGTCGGAGCTGCAGAAGAGACGCACGTGCACAGACCTGGGTGAGCTGTGCAGTTACCTTGGCTTGCAGATCACCCGGGACCGAGCACGTCGCACCATCACATTGACTCAGTCACACATGGTGCAGCAGGTCCTTCAGCGCTTCGGCTTCACCTGGTCCTCGCCACAGTCCACTCCTCTGGCTACAGGTCACTCGCTCTCAGCTCCACCTTCGGATGAGTCCGTAGAGCCGAGTGGTCCGTACCCAGAGCTAGTGGGCTGCCTCATGTACCTGATGACCTGCACTCGTCCTGACCTTGCGTACCCTCTTGGCCTTCTGGCACGCTACGTGGCTCCTAGTCGGCACCGAAAGGTGCACATGGATGCTGCGAAGAGGGTACTGCGCTACTTGTGCAGTACATCGGGCATGGGGCTCGTGCTTGGAGGGCGGAGTGAGGTTGTCCTCACTGGGCACTCAGACGCTTCTTGGGTTGACGACCTGGCTATGCAGCGGTCGTCACAGGGTTACACTTTCAGCCTTGGCTCCGGCTCTGTTTCTTGGCGGTCTACTCGCTCTTCTTCTGTTCTCAGCTCGAGTTGTGAGGCTGAGATCTACGCCACAGCCATAGCTGCACAGGAGTTACGCTGGCTCATCTACCTGTTGACCGACTTTAGAGAGAGGCCTCGTTCTCCTCCAAATCTGTACGTCGACAACAGGGCCGCCATCGCCTTGTGTTAGGAGCACAGACTGGAGCACAGAACGAAGCACATCGCTCTGCGTTACTTCTTGGCTCGAGAGTTGCAGCAGCGAGGTCAGCTTCGTCTTGCTCACGTGGCCACTCGAGCCAACACTGCTGATATATTCACCAAGGCACTTCCGTCTGGTGATTATCAGCGTTTGTGCACTCTGTTAGGCCTGGTGCCAGTTTTGTGCACTTCTTGACTTTGCTTGTACTTTGATTTATACATATATTCCTGCATGCTTGCTCTTGCTAGGTAGTGATCACTGTATTGTTGTTGCATATATGCCTCTGCATGTGAACTGGCCTTCTGGCCCTTTGCTTGTGCTCAGTGTGTGTAGTGACGTTGTGATCCACCCTGAGCTTGCTTTGCTTTTCTTGACTGGTCTTATGACCCCTTGTTCTCCCCCACTTTGCCTATGGGGGTGTGTCAAACTATATATGTTGTGTTATATTGTGTAGGCTGTAGTAGGGTAGCCAATATGGGGTACAACCCCTTTAGGGTTTCATATTTGTACCCAACTCTGATCTAGTTCATTCATTCCTGCTTGTAGTTTCTGAGAAATATACCGTCTAACGGAAGAATGATGTATGAATATCTTTATAGCCACACACAACCATAAAATATACAACATTGTAAGTGCACTCACTTATTATTGGATGTTATAATTAAAACACACCTACTAACGGGGCCTGATGGTATGCATTAATTAAATAAATCATAATACAAATTATGACATAACAAAGAACATGGGTACCGTATTCTCCCGGATAAAACACCCCCCCATCATTGTACACCCCCGGGTAGCTTGTGCGGGGTGGGTGTTATATTTGACCCCGTTAGTACTATACCCCCCCTTTTGCGGTGATTTTCTATAACACCCTCCTTTTCTTATGGATTCCTATTATAGATGTTATCGAGTCCAATTCCTTACGGGAGGATATCGCGAGAATCGCTCCCTAGACGAAATTTTGCTTGTGCTTTCACTTCGAATCTGCCGACATTCCCCCCCTCCCACAATCTCGCTGTCGCCACGCTGGCGAATCTTCCGCTGCAAGTGGCCCGAGGTGAAACTCACATTCTCACATGAGGCACAGGGAGGTGAGTCGTGACCAAACCAGTCAAGGAAGTGACTGGTACAGTGACAACGCACCACCGTGCGCGATTTCGGCCTCGGCGGAGTTGCCCACTGGAATTTGCCATGTGGCAGATTCCAGTGGGCGGTCACGGTATCCTCGCATACTCGGTTTTGCGGAACTGATCAGCAATCTTGAAGTGAAGTCAGACTTCTGATTTTGTTTCACATCTTTTCTGCTTTATAAAAAGTATACCATATAATAAGACCCGGGTATTATGTAGGATTTTTCGTCGAGGAGACCCCCCCCATTTTTTCCCAGTGGTTTTCATAATACCCTAGGGTGTTTTATCCGGGAGAATACGGTATGCCATGCTCAATTTCTGTTGTAGACACACACCCATACCGATTTGCCCAGTACAGTAGTACCCACGCTGATGCGGTTTCATGTTCAAGCATGAACAAGGCAATCACTCAGCGCGGGATAATCTGCGACATGGCGGCAGTGCTCTCATCGTACGGCCCCTCCATATTCCCCACCAGCGCAATGTTCGGATCAACCTCCCCGTCCTCGGGAATGGCGACGGCGCCCACATTGGAGCTCTGCGACCGCAGGTGCCCCAGCGCAGCGGCGCTCTCATCGCCCGTGAGGCGTGCGAGGATGTCCCCCAGGCGCCGCACCACCTCGCCCGTGTCGGGGCGGTTCTTGCTGTGGCGCTGCACGCACGCCATCGCCACCTCCGCCAGCGCCTTCACTATGTCCCCCGGGTAGTCCGCGCCCAGCCGCGGGTCCACTATCTTGCCCACGTTGCCCGTCTGCACGTACGGCGCACACTGCGGACAGGGGCCAAGGGAGGGAGATGAGTGGCAAAGGGGGGAGGAGTGTGAAAGGGGAGGGAGGTTGTGAGGCAGATGTGATGGGGCATGAGAAGGGCGTGAGACACATTGAGTGTGGCTGAGGGAGGAGGGGGAAGGAGTGAGGCAAGGTGAGAGCAGGGGCAGAAGAACCGACACTCATGGTGCTAAACCAATTGAGACGCTTCCCGCCCTTCTCCCTTTCACCCGTCTCACCTCTCACCCATTTCGCCTCTCACCCATCTCACCTCTCACCCATTCATCCCGCCTCTCACACATCTCACCTCTCACCCATTCATCCCGCCTCTCACCCATCGCGCCCGCCTCTCAGCCATCTGTCGCTCACCCATCTGGCGAGGCTGGTCATCTGTCGCTCACCCATCTGGCGAGGCTGGTCATCTGTTGCTCACCCATCTGGCGAGGCTGGTCATCTGTCGCTCACCCATCTGGCCAGGCTGGTCATCTGTCGCTCACCCATCTGGCGAGGCTGGTCATCTGTCGCTCACCCATCTGGCGAGGCTGGTCATCTGTCGCTCACCCATCTGGCGAGGCTGGTCATCTGTCGCTCACCCATCTGGCCAGGCTGGTCATCTGTCGCTCACCCATCTGGCGAGGCTGGTCATCTGTCGCTCACCCATCTGGCGAGGCTGGTCATCTGTCGCTCACCCATCTGGCGAGGCTGGTCATCTGTCGCTCACCCATCTGGCGAGGCTGGTCATCTGTCGCTCACCCATCTGGCGAGGCTGGTCATCTGTCGCTCACCCATCTGGCGAGGCTGGTCATCTGTCGCTCACCCATCTGGCCAGGCTGGTCATCTGTCGCTCACCCATCTGGCGAGGCTGGTCATCTGTCGCTCACCCATCTGGCGAGGCTGGTCATCTGTCGCTCACCCATCTGGCGAGGCTGGTCATCTGTCGCTCACCCATCTGGCGAGGCTGGTCATCTGTCGCTCACCCATCTGGCCAGGCTGGTCATCTGTCGCTCACCCATCTGGCGAGGCTGGTCATCTGTCGCTCACCCATCTGGCCAGGCTGGTCATCTGTCGCTCACCCATCTGGCCAGGCTGGTCATCTGTCGCTCACCCATCTGGCCAGGCTGGTCATCTGTCGCTCGCCGTCGGTGGACTCGTTGGCGTCGAGGCTCTCAAAGATGGGCGGCAGGCCTGTCAGGATCTCCAGCAGCACCACGCCGAAGCTGCACGCGAGCAGTGGGGGTGTGGGGAGGGCGTCAGCAAGCAGCATAGCATGCGGGCCACGGAGCAGAGCGTGCATGAGAATGAAGATGGAAGTGGGTGGGCGGGAGCAGGGAGGCACCTGTAGACGTCGCTCTTGGCAGTGACTTTGAAGGCGGAGTAGTACTCGGGGTCCAGGTACCCCGGTGTGCCCGCCACCTGCGTGCTGTGCGCCACGCCCTCGCCCTTGGACGCCTTCAGCAGCCCAAAGTCCGCCACCTTCGCCTGCACTCGCGCGCCCAGCACAGGGGGACGGGAAGGAGGGGGACACGTAGCGGGGCATACGTGGGGAGGGGCGGAGGGGGGTAAGGGCCACACAGCGTGAGTGGTGGGGGGAACAACCTCGGACTTTTGAGCCGGAGTCAGTGGAGCATGAGCACAGAAGGGCATGTCAATCCTGCACCTGTGCACCGTGCACCCCTCGTGACTGTGTATCCCACCCCAGACGTCCCCTTCTACCCCAACTTATATCCCCACCTGCATGCCCTTTTCCCCTCCACATGCTCCTTCCTTTCCCCCCACCTTGTTTACCCTCTCCCACCTGCAAGGCCCCCCTCAACCTCCCCCCCCACCTTCCCCCCCCACCTTCCCCCCCCCCTTTCCCCCCCCACCGGCATGTCTTGGTCGAGCGGGATGTTGCCCGAATTGACATCGCGGTGGATGATGGGCGGGCGACGTTTAAGGCGCCTCAAAACTCAACTCCTCCACCTGCATCCCCTCCCCAACCCCCACCACCTGCCGTTATCCCCCCCTCTTTCCCCCGCCCCTTCCCCCCCCTTCCCCCACCTGCATGTCTTGGTCGAGCAGGATGTTCCCCGACTTGACGTCGCGGTGGATGACGGGCGGGCGCGCGAACGAGTGCAGGTAGAACAGCCCCTGCGCCGCGCCCAGCGCCACCTCCACGCGCTGCTGCAGCGTCAGGGGGGGCAGCGGCTTGTCTGCTCATGCGCGGGGTGGGGGGAGGGATGGGTGGGGACGATCCGGAAAGGACGGGGAAGGGAGGAATGAAAGCAGAGGAAGTAAAGGGAGGCAAGTGAGGGGATGAAAGGTGGATTAAGAGGGGAGGGAGGAGAAATAGAGGGCGAAAAAAAAAGGAAGGCATGAAGCCCCGCAGTGCTGCCCAGGGATAGTTGCCTCGACTGCTGCACAGGCAGTCTCTGCACAACGTCACTCGTGCACACGACACCCACCCACCCACCCACCCACCCACCCACCCACCCACCCACCCACCCACCCACCCACCCACCCACCCACCCACCCACCCACCCACCCACCCACCCACCCACCCACCCACCCACCCACCCACCCACCCACCCACCCGGCCAGGCTCACCCACACACACATGCCTGTGGCAGCAGCTTCACAGGCACCCAGCAGCTCGCACTCACCGGGGGGCGGGCGCAGGTGGGTGGAGAGGGTGCCGTTGGCGGCGAACTCGTAGACGAGGATCTGCTCGCCCTTGTCCTCGCAGTACCCCAGCAGCGCTATCAGATTGCGGTGACTCATGGCCGATATCACGTCCACCTTGTGGGCAGGAGGGAGGGGGGGACGGGTAAGGATGGAGAGGGGGGGAGAGATGGGCAATGATGCGGGGGAGGGGGGAGGATGGGGTGTTTCACGCCTCTCAAGCAGCGGTATCAGGTGGCGGCGGCCCATCACTGATGTTCACGTGGACCTGGTGGAAAGGGTGTGTGGAGGGGGGCCGTGGGAGGGAGGCTATCTGAGAGGGGTGATGGGAGGGGAGGAAGATCAGGAGGTTTGCAAGGCAGCGTGGTAAGCACGTGGGGCTTGTGGTAATGTGACGTGGCACATGGAGGGCAGGTACCAGCTTGCTCTGGGCACGGCATCAAGTGCCTGCATTGATTAGAACGAGAGGTACATGGTCGTGAGTAGAGCTAGCAAGCAGGGGTTGGGTGGATATGGTGAAATCAGGAGGGGATTGTAGGAAGATCCATTCAAAGCATGAAGATTCTGAATGGATGGGGTTGGATCAGGTTGGATAGGTCGGGGATGAAAAGATCTGCACCCAACCCAACCTAAAACTCAACTCAACTGAAGCTGTAACCTGAAAAACCAAAGTCCAACAAGGTGCAGCCTATTTCCAACAGCCAAGGCCAACAGCTGACAGCACGGTGGTGATGTGTGGTGCGTGGGACATGGGGGCGAGCAGCATGGGCGGAGCAGCGAAGGGGGAGAGCAGGATATAGACGAGGATAGGGGAGGGTGGAGGGCGGGGGAAGGGAGGAGGGTGGAAGTTGACAAAATGAAGCTGGTGACAGGAAGAGAAGGACACGAGGGCGAGGAGTAGGAGGGGTGCAAGTACAATGGAGGGGGATGGAAAACAGGATGGATGCGGGGACGAGAGGGACAATTCCACTCACGAGACCTTGCAATCAACCCCTTTGCACGCCTCTTCCCCTCATCCCTTGCAATCCCTTCGCACGCCTCTTCCCCTCATCCCTTGCAATCCCTTTGCACACCTCTTCCCCTCATCCCTTGCAATCCCTTTGCACGCCTCTTCCCCTCATCCCTTGCAATCCCTTTGCACGCCTCTTCCCCTCATCCCTTGCAATCCCTTTGCACGCCACTTCCCCTCATCCCTTGCAATCCCTTTGCACACCTCTTCCCCTCATCCCTTGCAATCCCTTTGCACGCCTCTTCCCCTCATCCCTTGCAATCCCTTTGCACGCATCATCCCCTCATCCCTTGCAATCCCTTTGCACGCCTCTTCCCCTCATCCCTTGCAATCCCTTTGCACGCCTCTTCCCCTCATCCCTTGCAATCCCTTTGCACGCCTCTTCCCCTCATCCCTTGCAATCCCTTTGCACGCATCATCCCCTCATCCTTAGCCCACCTCGTTCTGAAACACGCCCATGGACGCACCTCGTTCTGAAACACGCCCATGGACTGCACGGTGGTGACCTGCGCGCGCTTGACGGCCCACTGCTCGCCGTTGGGCCCGTCGCCGCGGTACACGGACCCGTACCCGCCCGCGCCCAGCAGCCGCGCCTCCGAGAACGAGTCCGTGGCCTCCTCGATCTCCGCCAGGGCAATGGGGCGCACAAACTGCTCCTGTAGCCGCATCGTTAGCTTCGACTTGGTCGGCCCTGGGGGGGGAAAGGACGGTTGGCGTTGGGGGCATTCACACAAACAGAGTTGGCGCTGGCTGAGGGAAGCACACGTGGGTGAGAGGGGGCTTGTGGTGCTTTTAGGCAGCTCACAGCACGCTGCTGACCTACTGGGTCATCAATCCACTCCTGCCGTTCCCTCCTCCCTCTGCCTCTATCCTCGAATCTGCCCGTCCTTCACCCCTGCGCTTCCACACCACAGCTCTCATATTATATCCCACTGTTTCCTTCAAATCGCCCCATCCGCATGCCACGCACTGAACGTCCAAATGGCACTCACTGAGCATGCGGGTGGCACTCACTGAGCATGCGGGTGGCACTCACTGAGCATGCGGGTGGCACTGACTGAGCATGCGGGCGACACTCACGGAGCATCTGGCGTCTGCGTTGGTGGCGCAGCCAGAGCAGCAGCAGCAGCAGCGAGGCGGCGAAGCACAGCAGCCCCACCCCCGTGACCGCGATGGCCCACACCGGGAACGTGCTCTCTGCACGCCATGCCGCCATGCGTGCCGGGTGGCGGGTGGCGGGTGGCGGACGGAGGGAGGAGGGTGGAAGGAGGGGGAGTTGAGGGAGAGAAGATTGCAGAGCGGGATTAGGAAAGAGTGGGATGAGGGAAGAAAGAAACGGGCAAGAGTGCAACGAGGAAAGTGGGAAAGAAGCACAAGGTGTAAGGAGAGGCAGTGATAGGGGAGGCAGGGAGGGGGGCGTACTGCTTTCAGTGGTGACTGCGAGCGTGGGAGGGGGCGGTGGCGGGCTGGGCACTGGCGGGGGTGGTGGGCCATCTGTGGGGAGGGCGGGCGGGGGAGAGGGGGAAGGAAGGAAAGGAGGGAGGGAAGGGTCAGACAAAAGAAGAAATGGCAGGAGCGAGTGGTGCATGGGTGTAGGAGGAGGGCAAGGCAAGGAGCGAGTGGTGCATGGGTGTAGGAGGAGGGCAAGGCAAGGAGCGAGTGGTGCATGGGTGTAGGAGGAGGGCAAGGCAAGGAGCGAGTGGTGCATGGGTGTAGGAGGAGGGCAAGGCAAGGAGCGAGTGGTGCATGGGTGTAGGAGGAGGGCAAGGCAAGGAGCGAGTGGTGCATGGGTGTAGGAGGAGGGCAAGGCAAGGAGCGAGTGGTGCATGGGTGTAGGAGGAGGGCAAGGCAAGGAGCGAGTGGTGCATGGGTGTAGGAGGAGGGCAAGGCAAGGAGCGAGTGGTGCATGGGTGTAGGAGGAGGGCAAGGCAAGGAGCGAGTGGTGCATGGGTGTAGGAGGAGGGCAAGGCAAGGAGCGAGTGGTGCATGGGTGTAGGAGGAGGGCAAGGCAAGGAGCGAGTGGTGCATGGGTGTAGGAGGAGGGCAAGGCAAGGAGCGAGTGGTGCATGGGTGTAGGAGGAGGGCAAGGCAAGGAGCGAGTGGTGCATGGGTGTAGGAGGAGGGCAAGGCAAGGAGCGAGTGGTGCATGGGTGTAGGAGGAGGGCAAGGCAAGGAGCGAGTGGTGCATGGGTGTAGGAGGAGGGCAAGGCGCGAGGGCCAGTCACGAGAAGGCAAGCAGAGTGGGGCGACTTCATGGCAAGACCAATTGCGCAGGCCAGCACAGGTGAGCACAGGTGAGCACAGGTGAGCACAGGTGAGCACAGGTGAGCACAGGTGAGCACAGGTGAGCACAGGTGAGCACAGGTGAGCAAACAAAAGGCTCACCCCTACCAAGCATGGCACTCACCGAAAGTGACTGCCAAACCTGGCACTCACCGAACGTGACTACCGAGCCTGGCACTCACCGAACGTGACTTCCGAGCCTGGCACCCCACCGAACGTGACTGCCGAGCCTGGCACTCACCGACGTGACTGCCGAGCCTGGCACTCACCGAACGTGACTGCCAAGCCTGGCACTCACCGAACGTGACTGCCGAGCCTGGCACTCACCGACGTGACTGCCGAGCCTGGCACTCACCGAACGTGACTGCCGAGCCTGGCACTCACCGAACGTGACTGCCGAGCCTGGCACTCACCGAACGTGACTGCTGAGCCTGGCACTCACCGAACGTGACTGCCGAGCCTGGCACTCACCGAACGTGACTGCTGAGCCTGGCACTCACCGAACGTGACTGCTGAGCCTGGCACTCACCGAACGTGACTGCCGAGCCTGGCACTCACCGAACGTGACTGCCGAGCCTGGCACTCACCGAACGTGATGCCCCCAAAGATAGCACTGAGGCGAGTGAGGCGGCCCAACGCTGCATACAGCTGCCCCCTCTGCTCGTCCGTCCATGGGGCATCCACCTGGGCGGGGGGGTTGGGGAAGGATCGGAGAGAGAAGAAGAGCAGTTTAAGGGGGGTGCGATGATTGGAGGGAATGTGAAAAGTGGGAAGATAAAGGTGGAAGCATGGAAGGGGGGAGCGAAGTGGGAAGAAGCAGGGTACCTTGGCGGGGTAGATGCGCAGAGTGGCGACCTCGAGGTTGTCCTCGCGCTGACTCACACTGTCCAGCCACGCCTGCCATCCCATCCCATCACATGCATGCCACACGTATGGCGTTGGGTGCTGCTACCCAATGGGCGCCATACATTGAGTGGGCAGCATGATGTTATGGTGGATGGTATGTGCGAGTGGGTGGCATGATGTTATGGTGGATGGTATGTGCGAGTGGGTGGCATGATGTTCTGGTGGATGGTATGTGCGAGTGGGTGGCATGATGTTATGGTGGATGGTATGTGCGAGTGGGTGGCATGATGTTATGGTGGATGGTATGTGCGAGTGGGTAGCATGATGTTATGGTGGATGGTATGTGCGAGTGGGTGGCATGATGTTATGGTGGATGGTATGTGCGAGTGGGTGGCATGATGTTCTGGTGGATGGTATGTGCGAGTGGGTGGCATGATGTTATGGTGGATGGTATGTGCGAGTGGGTGGCATGATGTTATGGTGGATGGTATGTGCGAGTGGGTGGCATGATGTTATGGTGGATGGTATGTGCGAGTGGGTGGCATGATGTTATGGTGGATGGTATGTGCGAGTGGGTGGCATGACCCACAGGGAAGAACACAAGACACACCTTCCTGCCCTCCTCTTCCGCTTGCCCTCCGCCTACCTACCCTCAACCCCACTCACATGCTTCCCCCATTCGCCCCACTCCACCGACCTACCCCCACCTCAACCCACCTCTTCCCCCCTTCCAACCACCCACCGTTTCTCCTCTCTTCCCCCTCAACGCACCTGCCCCGCGCACCCCCCCAACGCACGTGGCCTGCCTGCAGGTGCAGCTGTGCTTCTACATCGCACTGGAAGGGGTCGGCCTATCCAACGTTAAAGAGCATGTGGGAGGGGTTCTGCACGAATCCACCTATCCCCATCCCCCCTTCAACCCACGTGCCTCCCCCAACCCACAACCTCGCCCTCTCGCCCACCTGCCCCTCCACGAGGTTGAGGCGTGCCTCCACGTCTCGCTGAAAGAGATCGGCATATTCAGCGTTGAAGAGCGTGTAGGAGGGGTTCTGCAGGAACAGGCGCACCACCACGGGCAGCGCGCACACGCACGCCTGCCCCTGCACGTACTCCACCGGGCTCGGACTCTCCCCACTGCCGCTGCACGGCAGCGTGCACAGGCGGCGCTGCTGCCACACGTTGCACGTGCGGTAGTACCGCGCTGACGTGCACAGCGGGTTGCCTGCTAGGCTGGTGTGTAGAGAAGAACGGGGGGATGGAGGGGAGGAGGGGCGTGGGAAGGAGGAGAGGCGTGGAGGCGTGGAGGCGTGGAGGCAACACAGTGAAACCCCACAGCATGAGTGTGCGGCAAAGCGGTTGGGATGAGTGGGAGATGACGGAGAGGGCGGATTGGGGTATGGGCTGGGCTGGGTTGTGATGGAGTGAGAGGGCGATGGGATGAGAGGGCGATGGGATGAGAGGGCAAGGCACTAACACGACGGTGGTTTTAGAGGAGTTGAGGTCGGCAGCAGGCACGGGGCCAGTGAGGTTGTTGTCATGCAGTGAGAGCAGGCGCAGCTGCGGCTGCCGTGCCACGTCCGGCACCCCCCCCTCCAGCTCGTTGTGCCCCGCTAGACTGGTGGGTGGGGGGTGGACGGGGAGGTCACGCAGGTGAGAGGGGAGAGGGCAGCATTCCTAATCGACCATGGTCAACAGGAGATCAATTGGAATGAGATGTGTTGGACTCACATGCGTTGGACTCACATGCGTTGGACTCACATACGTTGGACTCACATGCGTTGGACTCACATGCGTTGGACTCACATGCGTTGGACTCACATGCGTTGGACTCACATGCGTTGGACTCACATGGCTCGGACTCACATGGCTCGGACTCACATGGCTCGGACTCACATGGCTCGGACTCACATGGCTCGGACTCACATGGCTCGGACTCACATGGCTCGGACTCACATGGCTCGGACTCACATGGCTCGGACTCACATGGCTCGGACTCACATGGCTCGGACTCACATGGCTCGGACTCACATGGCTCGGACTCACATGGCTCGGACTCACATGGCTCGGACTCACATGGCTCGGACTCACATGGCTCGGACTCACATGGCTCGGACTCACATGGCTCGGACTCACATGGCTCGGACTCACATGGCTCGGACTCACATGGCTCGGACTCACATGGCTCGGACTCACATGGCTCGGACTCACATGGCTCGGACTCACATGGCTCGGACTCACATGGCTCGGACTCACATGGCTCGGACTCACATGGCTCGGACTCACATGGCTCGGACTCACATGGCTCGGACTCACATGGCTCGGACTCACATGGCTCGGACTCACATGGCTCGGACTCACATGGCTCGGACTCACATGGCTCGGACTCACATGGCTCGGACTCACATGGCTCGGACTCACATGACTCGGACTCACATGGCTCGGACTCACATGGCTCGGACTCACATGGCTCGGACTCACATGGCTCGGACTCACATGGCTCGGACTCACATGGCTCGGACTCACATGGCTCGGACTCACATGGCTCGGACTCACATGGCTCGGACTCACATGGCTCGGACTCACATGGCTCGGACTCACATGGCTTGGACTCACATGGCTTGGACTCACATGGCTTGGACTCACATGGCTTGGACTCACATGGCTTGGACTCACATGGCTTGGACTCACATGGCTTGGACTCACATGGCTTGGACTCACATGGCTTGGACTCACATGGCTTGGACTCACATGGCTTGGACTCACATGCGTTGGACTCACATGCGTTGGACTCACATGGCTTGGACTCACATGGCTTGGACTCACATGCGTTGGACTCACATGGCTTGGACTCACATGGCTCGGACTCACATGGCTCGGACTCACATGGCTCGGACTCACATGGCTCGGACTCACATGGCTCGGACTCACATGGCTCGGACTCGCATGGCTCGGACTCGCATGGCTCGGACTCGCATGGCTCGGACTCGCATGGCTCGGACTCGCATGGCTCGGACTCGCATGGCTCGGACTCGCATGGCTTGGACTCGCATGGCTTGGACTCGCATGGCTTGGACTCACATGGCTCGGACTCACATGGCTCGGACTCACATGGCTCGGACTCACATGGCTCGGACTCACATGGCTCGGACTCACATGGCTCGGACTCACATGGCTCGGACTCACATGGCTTGGACTCACATGGCTTGGACTCACATGGCTTGGACTCACATGGCTTGGACTCACATGGCTTGGACTCACATGGCTTGGACTCACATGGCTTGGACTCACATGGCTTGGACTCACATGGCTTGGACTCACATGGCTTGGACTCACATGGCTTGGACTCACATGGCTTGGACTCACATGCGTTGGACTCACATGCGTTGGACTCACATGGCTTGGACTCACATGGCTTGGACTCACATGCGTTGGACTCACATGGCTCGGACTCACATGGCTCGGACTCACATGGCTCGGACTCACATGGCTCGGACTCACATGGCTCGGACTCACATGGCTCGGACTCGCATGGCTCGGACTCGCATGGCTCGGACTCGCATGGCTTGGACTCGCATGGCTTGGACTCGCATGGCTCGGACTCGCATGGCTCGGACTCACATGGCTCGGACTCACATGGCTCGGACTCACATGGCTCGGACTCACATGGCTCGGACTCACATGGCTTGGACTCACATGGCTTGGACTCACATGGCTTGGACTCACATGGCTTGGACTCACATGGCTTGGACTCACATGGCTTGGACTCACATGGCTTGGACTCACATGGCTTGGACTCACATGGCTTGGACTCACATGGCTTGGACTCACATGGCTTGGACTCACATGGCTTGGACTCACATGCGTTGGACTCACATGCGTTGGACTCACATGGCTTGGACTCACATGGCTTGGACTCACATGGCTTGGACTCACATGCGTTGGACTCACATGGCTTGGACTCACATGGCTCGGACTCACATGGCTCGGACTCACATGGCTCGGACTCACATGGCTCGGACTCACATGGCTCGGACTCGCATGGCTCGGACTCGCATGGCTCGGACTCGCATGGCTTGGACTCGCATGGCTTGGACTCGCATGGCTCGGACTCGCATGGCTCGGACTCCCATGGCTCGGACTCACATGGCTCGGACTCACATGGCTCGGACTCACATGGTTCGGACTCACATGGCTCGGACTCACATGGCTTGGACTCACATGGCTTGGACTCACATGGCTTGGACTCACATGGCTTGGACTCACATGGCTTGGACTCACATGGCTTGGACTCACATGGCTTGGACTCACATGGCTTGGACTCACATGGCTTGGACTCACATGGCTTGGACTCACATGGCTTGGACTCACATGGCTTGGACTCACATGGCTTGGACTCACATGGCTTGGACTCACATGGCTTGGACTCACATGGCTTGGACTCACATGGCTCGGACTCGCATGGCTCGGACTCACATGGCTTGGACTCACATGGCTTGGACTCACATGGCTCGGACTCACATGGCTCGGACTCACATGGCTTGGACTCACATGGCTTGGACTCACATGGCTTGGACTCACATGGCTTGGACTCACATGGCTTGGACTCACATGGCTTGGACTCACATGGCTTGCAGGGATGAGTTTGGTGGGAAGATGTCGATGGAGCCCGTCAGTGCATTGCCGTCCACCGCGCTGTGCGGGGGGGTTGGGGGGTGGGTGGCATGGTGAGTGCCATGGCATGGCATGGCATGGCATGGCATGGCATGGCATGGCGTGGTGGAGTGGAGTGGAGTGGTGTGGAGTTGAGTTGAGTGGGAATGGAGAGAGAAAGCGGGGGGCTGAACGGGCAGGTCAAAGCATGGAGGAGCGTTGCTGGGGAGTTGAAGGTGTGAGAAGAGGGTCAAAGGCGCCACGGGCACAGCATGCATAGCACGGCAAACACAATAGATGGTAGGGCGGGGCAGGGCGGGGCGGGGCAGGGCGGGGAGGGGCAGGGCGGGGCAGGGCGGGGAGGGGCAGGGCGGGGAGGGGCAGGGCGGGGCAGGGCGGGGAGGGGCAGGGCGGGGAGGGGCAGCACAAGGGGCGCAGGGCGGGGCGGGGAGGGGCAAGGCGGGGCGGGGCGTACAGGAACTTGAGAGCGGAGAGGTTGGCGACGGAGGCGGGCAGCGGGCCCGTGAGGTGCGTGTATGACAGGTCGCTGCCCCGTGGCACATGGGGCACATGGGGCACATGGGGCACATGGGGCACATGGGGCACATGGGGCACATGGGGCACATGGGGTTGGGCGAGACGCAGAGAGCAGGCCAACGGGGTGAGGGCGTGACAGGTGGAGGCGAGCAAGGAGGAAGGAAAGGGTGAAGAACGAGGAATGATCGGTAAGCTGCTCAGAGAAGGAAGGGCACAAGCGGAGGGCAAAATAAGCACGGGGGAGGGGGGAGAGAGGGGAGGAGGGAGAGATGGGGGAGGGGGAGCGCTCACAGGTAGATGAGGGAGGAGAGGGCGCCAACAGCGGGCGGCAGAGGGGCGGGCGTGAAGTCGAGCTCTCGCAGGTCGCTGGTCAGGGCGCACATGAGGGGGATGAACGCAGGGGGATAAGGCTGGGAGCAAGGTGAGAGGCGAGGAGAGCGGGTAGGAGGAGGCGATGGTGGGGCGGGTGGAGGAGCATGAGTGGCGATATGGTGGTGATGAGGCGGAAGAGAAGGGCGCAGAGGAAGACAGGTGAGGGGCAGACAGACAGCACGAGTGGTGACTTGGGGAGCATGAGTTGGTGGTGTGGTGATAACAATGATGCGACAAGCACGTGTGCAGACCGGTAAGCTTCTCAGAGAGTAGCATTTCGGCTGCAGAACTCACAGGTGGGTGAGGTGGGTGAGTGCAGCAAGGGCGGAGGGCAGCGGGCCGGTGATGGCGTTCTGATGCAGGTCGCTGACAGGGGCGCAGAGGGGGTGAGGGGGGGAGAGGAGGCGAGAGGGGGGGACTGTGGCAGGGACGAGTGTGGAAAGGACGAGTTTGGAAAGGACGAGTGTGGCATGGACGAGTGTGGCATGGACGAGTGTGGCATGGACGAGTGTGGCATGGACGAGTGTGGGGCATGGATGCATGCAGGCATGAAGCGGAGTGCCGTGCAGGGTGCAGCGATGCATGGCATGGCAGGTGAGTATGGGTTGCGGTGGGCATGTACAGGTGGCGCAGCGCGGTGAGGTTGGAGAGCGAGTCGGGCAGCGAGCCATTGATGCGGTTGTTGGACAGGTCGCTGCGCTTGTGACGTGGGGACGCATGGGGGGCAAGAATGGGGAGACGCATTGGGGGTTGGGAGAGATGGGGGTGGGGGAGATGGGGGTGGGGGAGATGGGGGTGAGAAGGGAGAGGAGGTGGAGGGAGGAGGCAGTTGGAGTGGGAGGTGTGGGGGAGGGAGTTGGAGACATGGTGGCGTGGAGGGCAGTGAGTGCAGTCAAGCATGTGCAGAGTCAAGCATGTGCAGAGTCAAGCATGTGCAGAGTCAAGCATGTGCAGAGTCAAGCATGTGCAGAGTCAAGCATGTGCAGAGTCAAGCATGTGCAGAGTCAAGCATGTGCAGAGTCAAGCATGTGCAGAGTCAAGCATGTGCAGAGTCAAGCATGTGCAGAGTCAAGCATGTGCAGAGTCAAGCATGTGCAGAGTCAAGCATGTGCAGAGTCAAGCATGTGCAGAGTCAAGCATGTGCAGAGTCAAGCATGTGCAGAGTCAAGCATGTGCAGAGTCAAGCATGTGCAGAGTCAAGCATGTGCAGAGTCAAGCATGTGCAGAGTCAAGCATGTGCAGAGTCAAGCATGTGCAGAGTCAAGCATGTGCAGAGTCAAGCATGTGCAGAGTCAAGCATGTGCAGAGTCAAGCATGTGCAGAGTCAAGCATGTGCAGAGTCAAGCATGTGCAGAGTCAAGCATGTGCAGAGTCAAGCATGTGCAGAGTCAAGCATGTGCAGAGTCAAGCATGTGCAGAGTCAAGCATGTGCAGAGTCAAGCATGTGCAGAGTCAAGCATGTGCAGAGTCAAGCATGTGCAGAGTCAAGCATGTGCAGAGTCAAGCATGTGCAGAGTCAAGCATGTGCAGAGTCAAGCATGTGCAGAGTCAAGCATGTGCAGAGTCAAGCATGTGCAGAGTCAAGCATGTGCAGAGTCAAGCATGTGCAGAGTCAAGCATGTGCAGAGTCAAGCATGTGCAGAGTCAAGCATGTGCAGAGTCAAGCATGTGCAGAGTCAAGCATGTGCAGAGTCAAGCATGTGCAGAGTCAAGCATGTGCAGAGTCAAGCATGTGCAGGGTCAAGCATGTGCAGAGTCAAGCATGTGCAGAGGGCGGCACTGGCAGGTAGGTGAGGGCGGCACTGGCAGGTAGGTGAGGGCGGCACTGGCAGGTAGGTGAGGGCGGCACTGGCAGGTAGGTGAGGGCGGCACTGGCAGGTAGGTGAGCACGGCACTGACAGGTAGGTGAGGGCGGCACTGGCAGGTAGGTGAGGGCGGCACTGGCAGGTAGGTGAGGGCGGCACTGGCAGGTAGGTGAGGGCGGCACTGACAGGTAGGTGAGGGCGGGCAGCCCCGCAATGTCGGGCACGAGCTCGCCCTGCAGCTGGTTGCCCCTCACGTCCCTGGCCTCGTGGCCCACCGGGTCAAGGAGGGGAAGGAGGGGGGAAAGAGGGGAAGCAAAAGAAATTGAAGGGAGAGGAGGAGGATGGAGAGGGGTGCAGAGAGCAAGCATCACGACTCTTCCCCATGGCTCATGGCTCATGCCCCACGCAAGACCACGTGATAGAGGTGTCATTTTGAGACGCATCGAGGTGATACTTTTAATACACAGCAAGCATTACGACTCTTCCCCACATGGCTCATTCCCCATGCAAGACGGCTGTGCTACAGCCGTGACTCACAGTTGTGCTACAGAAGTGACTCCCAGTTGTGCTACAGCCGTGAATCCCAGTTGTGCTTCAGCCGTGACTCCCAGTTGTGCTACAACCGTGACTCACAGTTGTGCTACAGCCGTGACTCACAGTTGTGCTACAGCCGTGACTCCCAGTTGTGCTACAGCCGTGACTCCCAGTTGTGCTACAGCCGGGACTCCCAGTTGTGCTACAGCCGTGACTCCCAGTTGTGCTACAGCCGTGACTCCCAGTTGTGCTACAGTCGTGACTCACAGTTGTGCTACAGCCGTGACTCACAGTTGTGCTACAGCCGTGACTCCCAGTTGTGCTACAGCCCTGACTCCCAGTTGTGGTACAGCCGTGAATCCCAGTTGTGCTACAGCCGTGACTCCCAGTTGTGCTACAGCCGTGACTCACAGTTGTGCTACAGCCGTGACTCACAGTTGTGCTACAGCCGTGACTCACAGTTGTGCTACAGCCGTGACTCCCAGTTGTGCTACAGCCGTGACTCACAGGTGTTGCAGCGCGGTGAGGTGCGATATGCCCGCGGGGATGCTCCCCGTCAGCTCGTTGCCGCCCAGCGACCTGCGCGCCAGCGGGTGGGGGAATCGGAAGGAGCGCAATAGGGGAAGCGGGCGGGCGGGTGAGGGGGAATGGGCGCAGGGTTGGAATTGAATGAGCACGAGTGAATAAATTGGGATGAGTGCGGGCGAAGGGATTGGGATGAGCGCTGGCGGAGGGATTGGGATGCGCGCGGGCGGAAGAATCGGGATTAGCGCGGGCGGGGAATTGGGATGCGCGCGGGCGGGAGAATTGGGATTAGCGCGGGCGGGGGAATTGGAATGGGCGGTGGGCAGGCGGATGAGTGACGGTCAATGGCGCGCATGCGTCCTTGGTGGCCGCGACACGCAGCTACTACAGACTATCGCGCGCAGATTGACAAACTCGTTCCAGTCGTCACACTGCACGCCCATCCGGCAATCCAAAACGATTATGTCTAAGCCGTGGAGAAGCGGCTTGTAACGCGTACAGTTTGACGACTTGGTTCCACTGGTCGCATTGGACGCCCATCCAGAAGGCCCACCCCACGTCCGAGTCCCACGACTCCAACTCCAAGCCCTGCGGGTCCATCGCCACGCGCAGCTCCGCCAGCGCCAGCCCTGCCGTTCCGCCGCGCACACACGCGCACACACGGGCACGCGCACACGCACACGCACGCGCGCACACGCACACGCGCACGCACACGCGCATGCACGCGCACACGCGCATGCACGCGCACATGCGCACAGACAAAGGCGAGCTTCGTAAGAGTCCGCTGGTTTTGACGGTTTGGCGCGTCAGGCGGGTTCAACCCGCGCTGATTGTGGCTCTTCAACCGAGGGATTGGTTTCAGCTGAGCGGAACAGTATTGGGTTGAATGTGTGCGTTGCATGATCGACGAGTTGTGAGTGCGACTCGCAATGGCGAGATATAGTAATAAGGGAAAACACAAGCGCCGCAACTCACGTTGATCGTACGTCGGCGGGAATTCCGGGCCATACTCGTTTGCCGACGCGTTCCCGCTGGAGCCGGGAGGTCGCGGCGCGGCCGGCGGCGCCGAGAGCCCACCAGGAGTCGAAGGCGCTACGGGTGGCGGCGGCGACAACGTGGCGACGGCTGTTCTTAGCGCACTCCGGCGATGGCTGGCTACGGCTGTAGCAGCCGTGTCGACTCTATCAGCCGTGGCGGCTGTATCGCCTGCGACGATCTCCACGCGACGGAGCGTCGCAAGTGGACCCGCCGCGACGTGCGCTACGGTTACTATGAGCAAGAGGGCAATGCGCGGCTCCGAGAGAGACGGAAACGATCGGTGTTGCCGCAAAAGCGTCATTCTGCGCGGCGTGCAACAGGTGGGTGCGCCCGGTGAGGTGGAAGTGAGTGCGCCCGGCGACCGCGGCCCTGCGACCACGAGGTGCGATCGCCACCAGTGACTGGCCTGCCCGTAATGGCGCGCAGTGCGAAAGAACGACAGCTGCTGAGGCTGGTCTATCGCTGCGGCGTGTGAGCGCGGTGCGTCATTCTACAGATGAAGACATAGTCGGCAGGCCGCAAGGCTGTCGCACGACGGGCAAGCCTCCAGCTGGCCGCAGGTGCGAAGCTCAAGGGAGTGCAACTGCAAGCTGGGAATGCCGAACAGACAAGCACAAGCAGCAGCGAACTGTATGGTACATGCGGCGCTACGGGGCTCGAAGTAGCGGAGCTTCCCGAGCGACGACGGTCACTTAGAATAGTACGGCTCACAAGAGCTTCAGTTCGGGCCAATTCAACCAACCACAGGAATGACGCAACACCACAGAATCTAGGTGGAGTGAACTATGGGGGTCAAAGGGGAAGCAAATAGTAAAGTGCTGGTCGAGGGCGCGTTCAGAACTCGCTCTAACACTCGGTTGTGTGAAAAAATGCTGCCCATTCAACTTCACATCCCCATTTTAGCCCAGTAAAGAACGTGGTTAGCGTACTGCGCGGCAGGAATCCAGTGATTTTTTTCGTGCATTTTCTCTAGTCTGGATTACTTTTTTACGTTATTTTGCTGGGTTTGGTTGACATTCTATCATCAGTAAAGTACTTAGCTTAAGAGCTGCAAAACCTAAGCATCTTCGAAAAGAGGAGTGAGAACAGATCATCACTCCCTACTGTACGCTGGTTTGAGGCGTGGATCGAAGCGCGAATAGGAGCCACAAATGTCTGCCTTCGTCTATTTTAGGGGTCAAATTCAGAGAGGCTCGATTGTGCTGATGTGTCCCACCGCGCCGCGGAACAGTTTTTGCTGCGACATGCATCTCGCATCGTGTGGGCTGGAATGATCGAAGGGGAGTGGCACGTCAGCATTGCGGGGTTTGCAGAAATGACACTTCTGTCGCTGAAATGGCTAACTGTATAATACTCTACATAAAACAATGTGGTTACAGCCTTTTTATTAAAAACATAGATCTTCATAAAACACGCAGAATGAAGTTACAATACCTCATGTACATACCCAGTTGTGTTCTCGTCTTGGCAGCTTAGCTCTGTGGTAATCATTCCACCTCAGCCAAATATCTTGCTAGTGCTCTCAACCCAACAGGGCGCATTACAACTCCACTGCCACCATCATCCTCACCCACATCATCACCCAACCCTTCATCCCCACCATCCCCTTCATCCCCTTCATCCCTATCATCAGCACCCCATCCGCCCTCGGCGCCACGCCACACGCGGGCAGCAAGCAGGTGGTTGAGGTGCTGAGTGGGGTGGAAGGCGTCCCAGAAGACGTGCTGCGAGGGGTGGCGGCACAGCGTGTAGCGCGTGGGGGTGCCGTTCACCAGCGCCGTTCGCCCGCACTGCACCAGCCCGTTCAGCGGTGCAGGGGCGCCGCAGCATGCCTCGGGGCCGCTGGTGAAGCCTGCAGGGAAGGGTGAGGGGCGTGAACAGGAGGAAGGAAGGGGAGAGTCAGGTGAGAGGGGATGAGGAGTGGTGGGGGTGTGGAAAGGCAGAGCGGAAACAAGAAGGAAAAGTGGAGTGACAAGAGGCAGAGGAGGGATGAAGGAACGCCCCAAGTGGTGACTATCAGACATGCGTGGTTCGCTGTGCACTGAGAATGGAGTCATGCGGAGGCACGGGTTATCTCCTTGGCCACCTACCCCATGCTCGTTATTAGAGCACTGGGGGACCATCCACTCCCCATCCCCTGCCCATTCCCTGCATATCCCCTCTCCGATCCCTGTCCATCCCCTCCCCATTCCGTTCCCATCCCATCCACCCTATCAACGCCTGCACTCACCCAGCGCCTTAGGCTGCTCCACAGCGCGAACCACGAGCCCCCCAACGTCCGCCGTGAGAATGACGATGCCCGGCAGGCGAGCCTGCAGTGCATTCAGCCCCGCGGTGAGCAGCGCGTTGTGGGCCAGCGGCACGGCGGAGAGCGGCGACGCGGAGCACGTGCGCTGCCCCAAGGCTTGCATGAGCGTGGGCGCGCATGCGATGGGCGGCAGCAGGTACACCAGGAAGCGCCGCGCTCCCATGCTGTACAGCGCCTGGGGAGAGCAGGAGGGCCAGCGCAGCAGGTGAGGCACAGGACGCGTGCGTGAGGCAGCAGCGTGAGGGGGGATTTGTATTAGAAGATGACTGGAAGAATGAAAAACACAAGGGGTCAAAAGAACATCATAGCAGCATTCTCACCACCCTAATGTCTCCCCTGCATAGAATGAACATAAACCTGGCACAGTGGCAACACAGCACGTCTTGAGCCACATTCAAACCCTTTTTTGCCAACCCCTACGGCAGCCATTCCCCCCCCCTCTCACCTGCACGGCATCCACGGTGCCCTGGGCGGAGGCAGCTATGGTGCCACCTAGTGTAGCTGCGAACCGCCCCACTGCGACAAGCCTATCCGCCACTGACTGCGGTGGGCGGCTCACTGCCTCCTCCAATGGCAGCGCGCCACGTGTCCCCGCCCCGCGCAGGCGGGCGGCTGCTCTAGACCTTGTCGAAGCGGCAGAGGAGGCAGACGCGGCAGAAGCAGCAGAGGAGGCAGAGGCTATGGAGGCGGATGGGAGGGGTGTGGAGTTGAAGGGAAGCGGTGGCACGGCGGTGGTGTTGGGCAGGCGAGGCAGCGACGAGGCGCTGGGCATGGGCGGAAGGGAGGAGGCATTGCTGAACAGACGAGGGCGCGTTGCGTTGCGGGGGGGGAGGGAGGTGGGGATGTTGGGCACGAGCCCCATGTTGAGCTGCGATAGCAGGTAGAGGTAGTCGTTGGAACCGATCTGTACCACGTACAGCGCTGATGTGAGGGCCTGTAGGGGGGAGGGGAGGGGGAGAGGGGGGGGGAATGGAGATGTGGGGAGCGTAGGAGGAGCGTTGAGGTGCGACAGCAGGTAGAGGTAGTCGTTGGAGCCCACCTGCAGCACGTAGAGCGCTGAGGCGAGGGCCTGGCGATGGGCGGGGAGAAGAGGAGGGAGGGACGGGGGAGCAAGAGGAGGGCAGACGCGAGGGATGGTGGGTTGGGAGGAATGGTTAGTGGGACGATGCGAACAAGACATGAGGAGGACGCCGAGGTGAAGGATGGAAAGAAGGCGGAGAGAGGTGCTGAAAGGACGAGAGAAGAGAGCAGAGGGGAAGATGTGATGTTGGGCAGGTCAGGTCATGGGCGCACGTACACTCTTGTCTGGCACGCTCTCCTGCTGCTGCTGCTGCTGCTGCTGTCACTCCCCACGCTCCCAGCGTCACCACCATTAGACAGCGTGGTGGCAGACTCCTTGCTCCCACCGCCCTGCTCGCTGCCGTCCTGCCCCACCACCGCTACATGCACTTCCCGGAACTTTCCTAGCTGGAAGGACAGCGGGAACGCCTGACCGCACACGGGAGAACAGTGGGGTGGGGGCGAGGAAGGAGGAGGAGGGGGGGGGGGTTGGTGGAGGTTGGTGTTTGCAAGTGAGGCGAAGAGGAGAGGGCGAAACGTAAGCAGCGCGAAGGAGAATAAGCAAAAAAACGAAGGGTTGGAAGGAGGGGTGTGGGGGGCCGAGATGGGTAGGAAAGCAAGGGGCACGAGGCCACAAGTGATCGACCGCACTCTGCCTTGGCATGCACGGAGGTGTGCAGTGCAGGTGAGCAACGCACATCCCCACCCACCACTGCTTGCTTGCACCTCATTCCCGCCCCACTCAAGTATAGCTTCTCCTTCTTCTGCCTCCATGCTTCCCCTCCCCACCACCCACCACGTGGTAACCAGCCCAGCCCGACCAACCAGCATCTCTAATTGCGCTCCACATGGGAGTGCCTCTGCCCCCTCTTCCCCGTCTGCCCCAGCCAGCATGGCAGCACGCACCTGGCCCGGGTTGGTGGAGTCGAGCACACCCGCCCGCCCCCACCCACCCGCCCCCACCCACCCGCCCCCACCTGCCCCCACCTGGCCCGGGTTGGTGGAGTGGAGCACGCCCGCCCCAGCGCTGGCGAAGTTGAGCCCGCGAGCAGCGCTGCGCCCCGGCTGCAGCACTGGCGGGGGCGAGGGCAGCCCCAGATAGCGCGCTGGGAAAGATGGGGAGCAGCGATGGATGGGGAGGAAGACGGGAGTCGTGGGAGGGGCGGGTTGGGGAGGGACGGGAAAGTGGGGGAGGAAACGGAGAGCGGGGAGGGGAGGTAATGGAGTGAGGGGAGAGAAAGAGGGGACGGGATGGGGGATGGGAAAGAATGGAGGAGGGGGACGGAAGGGAGGGGAAGGAGGGGGGTTGAGGGCGGGATGTGAGGCGTCTGTGGAAAAGGCAGGCTTCGAGAGACGAGAAGCTCACAAAGATGACTGTGTTGTGCGAGAAGCCCACACAGATAACTGTGTTGTGCGAGGTGCCTTCTCTCCTTCAATCAACCTGCCCACTCTGCCACCCTCAAAAGCCTTCCCGCTCCTCTTCCCCCCCCAAGGACACAAGCACTACTGGCAGCAGCGCGCACCCAAGTAGTCGATCTGCAGGCGGCCATCGGAGAAGCGCCCCGACGCCTGCCTGTAGTCCATGCTGTAGGGGGGCAGGTCCGCACGCAGGAAGCGGTGCGAGCCGTAGTTGTTGTTGCCCACGTCCACCAGCGAGTCGCCGAACACAAAGAGCGCTGTTATGGGCGAGCGGGTGAGGTTCAGAGTGTCGAGCAGGGCTGCTGCTGTGGCTGGGTGGAGGCAGGGAGGGAAAAGGAGGAGAGGAGGCAAGAGGGTGGAGGAGGTGGGAGTGGGGATGCGGGGAGCCGAAGAAGGAAAAGGGAGGCCCCTGAAGCAGCGCGCACGACCACTACAGGCCCACTCACTCACTCACTCACTCACTCACTCACTCACTCGCTCACTCACTCACTCGCTCACTCACTCCCTCACTCACTCACTCACTCACTCACTCGCTCACTCACGACCCTCTCTCTTCAACGGACTGTCAACTGGCGTTCTCCAGCAGCACCAAACATCCCCTGCCTGCACCACGCCCCGTCCCTGCTGCCATGCCACTGCCATGCCACTGCCGTTTCGCCACCTCACTCGCCTGCTGAACACGCACCTCTCATGCTCCCTACCCTCCTCCCTAATTCCCTCTCAAAACCCACGTTATCCTATCCTCCTCCCTCTTTCCCTTACTACGTCCCGATCTCCGTCCCGCCCGAACGCTCGCCTGCCCACACCAACCTTGCGATTCGCCAGCGCGCGTCACAGCCTCGTCATCACTGCCGCGCGCGCCCACCGCCATGCGGCCCGCCAGCGCCGCCGCGGCCAGCGGCACCAGCAGCAGCCGCACTGCCACTGCGCGCGCGCAGCGCTGCTCTCTCCGCGGTCGCAGCCTGTGGGCCCAGCGCAAGCTGCTCCGCGCGCTGCTGGGCGCGGCAGCAGCTGCCTGCGCGCGCTGCTCGGATGCCCCGCGCGCATGCGCGTGAGCCATGGCGGACCGCACAGCTGCTAGCGGCGCACGAGGGAACTGGCGGGCGGCCGGAAGAAGCAATTCGCGAAGGCGCACTGGCTGCTCGGTCTGTGTCGTTCACCCGAGACGTGTGCGGCTTTTAGCGACACGGCTTCTCAAGACTCTGTGCTGTGTCCTTGAAGCAGTGTCCGGGCCGGTCTAGCCTCGCGCCACTTTCACGGCAGCTCCAGGCCGCTTTTGAGGCGTGCAGCGGGCAAAAGGAGGGCGCGGCCACTTGCAGGCGGAGCAGCGCGGAAGAGTGCCGCGATACAAGCAACGGGCATGTCGCTCCTCCGCCGCTGCTCCTTCCACCGTTCCACATGGCCCCACCGCGCCTTCAATCCGCCTCCTCGCGCCCACCCCAGCCCACGGGCAACCGCTGCCTGAACTCGCGCCCTACTAGGGGGCTGCGGGGCGCCTCCGAAGAAATCGACGTGTGGGGGTCACGTGAAGCGCCACGTGTCGCCGCATCCACGGACGGGCTGGGCCCCACCGGGCGGGCACCAGCGTATCGCGGGCGGATGGGCGCATTCCGCTTTTACCCATCCCTCGGTGTGGGGCCTCGAACGCGAGGCTGTCGCGCTGTCAGGCGTCACTATCGATGAGGGTCGGTTGCTTGGTAGGACAGCGCCACGACTTGTGTGCAGCGAGGCGATGTGACTGGTGTGACTCGTTGTGAGTGACTGCGCCAAAAAATAGTGAAACGCAGTAGCTACATTGATATTTAATAAATGAGTTAAAACATACAAACAGCCTAATTCACGGTACTTCTGAAATACTACCGGCATCGAATTTCATCCTTGAAGAACCATTCAGCATTGAGATGTCACCTACGCATGCATGCATCCACATGCATATCTACTCCACCCTGGAACGATCACACCACTGCACGGAACTCCAGCAATGCAATTCCATGCACCCAAATACTCATTGAAATTTCCCCGTTTTCACAACCTTGCCACAGAGCGCGAGTTTGTTCCCTTCGCGTCCAACAGCGACACGTGATGACATTATAATTGGTCCCATTCCCACAAAGGCGGCGCCCTTTGAAGCCATGGGCTGCTCAATGTGAAGGCGAAAGCTGTAACGCTTGCCGCGAGCACCGGGCCTTGTGATGTTCAGGAGCGTTGAAGTTTGCTCGAGAACCGCTGTGGAGCAAGAACTCCCGAAACCCACTTTGGGTTGATCTCCTCCCTTGAGGTTCAGAAAAAGGATCTTGCCGACCAGGCTGTATGTCGATGCAGAGTACCTGTCAATCACGAGGGCAAAGGCCAGGTTTAGGGTTAAGTGTTTCAGAGAGTGGAGCCAGTGCACTGCATGAATGATGCCCCCTAAGAAGTAATGCCTCTGATTCAGAGCAAATACTTGAATAATTGCAAGAGCACGGTGGTTGGTTGTGCGTACATGTTAATAAACGAGATGGAGCCCAACTCGAAAACACTCAAAAGGCAGTGTGTTCACAGGAAGCGTGTCAGCACCACCAGTGGAACAAGGGAACGAGGGGAGAAGTGAACGAGGGGGAAGCGGCATACTTGACAAGACCATATATTTCCCCGACGCTCCTGCGTCACCGACCAGTTTCCCGTTGAGCACGGTCGGACGCAGAGCGGCCGCGTATTTCACTGGAAAGGGGAACGGGACGGATGGGGAAGACGGAATTGTTCGCACTTTCCAGCTATGATTGCTCGTTTTCAGCTACTAGTACCTCCAACCAAAATAGAGAGAAAGAAAAAAACAAACCTGCCTTCTTTGCCACACACACTAACTGTTGCAACTCATTACCTGGGTGTTACAATTGTGAAGCCCAACGGGTTATAATCCTTGATGTGTGCGCACAGCGAGTATAGAGCCAACGCTGGCCGCTTGTCCACAAGAGAACACTACTGGAAAACCGTCGGCAGCTAAGAGAATGGTGATTTGAGGTTTTGGCAAGGTTTGAATCGTATATAAACACTTACCGAGTGTCTTGCCCTTATAAAACAAGGGCCTGGCTTGAGTGGCAGAAGCGGGTGAAGACTCGTTCCCTTGGTGCGAGAGGACCGGCGAGAACAATGATGTGGCCGATGCGCCATAGGCAGTACAGACCGCCGCACCTGCACGCAGACAGCACGATTTGACACGTGGGCACAACGATTAGTAAGACAAAGCTGCCCTTGAGTTTGATTGTGAAAATCGAAGCCAGCAGCAGCGCACTGTGAAAGGCTTACAGAGCAGCATGCGGCAGAGGAGAGACAACGCGGCGCGGCGCCCCATGATTCTGATGTCGATTCCAACGCTCGCTGAGTTCCAATACTTGCTTCCGGCGGAAAATCGAGAGTTGTGTAAGTGGTTGCGGACCCCGAAAGCATTGACTACCTGATCCAACACCTTGCGGCTTTCAGGTTTTACACCGAGCCTTAGCCGCCGTGATTCGTAACCATCGGATCGCGTTGAGGTATGATGGCGTCAGCGAGGTACCTACCATCGGGGAAGTTTCGCTCCGAGGTCGCGGTACGGTGGAACGTTGACGAGTCTGCTACGGCTACGGCGGCGAGTGGTTTGAAACGGCCTACGATCGCCGACGTGCCCCGACTCCGACCTGATGCTGCGATGCGCATCGGAATAACTCGCTTGCCGCGCTGGCAGACAACCAGGCGCCATGCGAGGAGCCCGTGTCGTCACGTCAGCCATGGAGACTAAGAGAGGTGCGGCGAGGAGCCCGTGTCGGACACGTTAGGGTGGCCGATTAGCGGCTGATTTAACTACTTGGACACCTCAGCAACTTCAGCACCCACTGAAGATTTGAACTGGTGTAGGACGCAGGCTAGTAGACAGTGGGTGCACGACATGGTATAGCCACACCATGACACGCGGGTAAGCTTGCCACCCATGGGCGCCGCCTAACAAGACGTCTACGCCATGCCAGGGCTTGAAGATGACAGCAGAAAGGCGACCACAAACAACCGCAAGATAGAGGCTAAGGCGGTGCATCATGCCAGCACGAAAGCGGAATTGCTGGCAGGGTCGGCCGCGGGGGTGCTTAGTAGCGAAGCGGATCTAGCGGAACCCCCTGTTTGATGCACAACAACCAACCAGCAGGGGAGCGGAAAGCGCGCTGAATTTGCGCTGATGTGAGTCACGCCACTGTGGGGACGACCACTTCTGCCATACCTTCCCTGACTTAGCGTACTCGATAAAATTCGAATCAACATTTGTTGAAAATGTGAAGTTTTAGCATGTAACATTTGTAGGGTCCTGCAAATGTTTGTTGCGAGGTACTTCCAAATTCCTCACCGAGTCAACATTCCCACGCAGAATATATCTAGGGTCGTTCAAGCCATTGTGACAACCTTAACCTGAGGAGCTTAGGCAGAAATAAAACTTCCAATAACCATCATAGAAACCAATGTACCAGCATGTTGCAATCTCACTCGGGCAATGTCATCCTCCCAGCGAAACACTTCTGCAACAAGCAAAGGCAGAACTCTACCCCTCTAGGGCTTCTGATCCCCCACCCCAACCCCTGCAGCAGCTTCAGCAGCAGCGGCCATGGCGGCAGCGGGCTTGGTGTTGAAGTAGTAGGAGGCGTGATGCGCATGGCCAAACTGCGCCAGCATCTGCAGCTCCTCCTCTGATGGGATGTGCACGTCGCGATACTCCTCTGGTGGGGATTAGTGGGACACAGGGCGGGGAGAATCAGTGAGGCGCACCAGGAAAAAGGTGGTGGGGGTGGGTGGGTGGGGATGACCTGCAGCTCTGCCTCCGATGGGATGTGCACATCGCGGTACTGCTGTGTGCATGCGACAGCGAGAATCAGAGAGGGTCACAAGGGAAAAAGGGGACGGGAGAGAGCGGGGAGGGGGGGCATCTGCAGCTCCTCCGATGGGATGTGTCTGTCCCGTACTCCTCTGTGCGTGGGGGGCAGCAGCAGCACAGGGCAGGGAGAATCAAAGAGGGGCACGAGGGAGAATTGGGTTGCGGAGGGGGGATGGAAAGGGGTGAGGGGAGGGCGGAGGGTCTGCAGCTTCTCCTTTGACGGGATGTGCACCTCTGGTGGGCATCGCAGCAAGGGCAACTCAGGGCCAGAGAAACAGAGGGGTGGCGTGGGGGGGAAGTGGTTGGCGGTGGTAGGGGTTTAGTGGGAAGAGGGGGGGGGAGCATCTGGTGCTCCTCAGACGGGTTGTGCACGTCGCGTTACTCCTCTGTTGGGGACGGAGGAACACAGGGCACGGAGAAAAAGAGGGGGGCACGATGGAAAAGGGAATGGTGGTGTGAGGGATCTGCATGCCACAATACCCCTCTGAACCCATGGCTATGAAATTCAAGCCAGCACCCATAACATCCACTGCAGCTCACCTGATGCAATGATGCACACGAGATGGTGGTGGTTGTGGGGGAGGGTAATCAAGCGGAGGGAGGGAGATGAGAAGGATGTGATATGTTGTGATACGTGGCACACATACTCGTTCACACACACACAGGAGCCCACTCACACACACCCACCGACACCAAGTCATACCCACTCATACCTACTCTCGCCCACTCATACCCACCTGGTATTTGTCTGGGAGCGCGGATGCGGATGGGGTCGAACTGATGCGAGGCCAAATCAGGGCGGTATGACTTCACCCAGTCTGCGGGGACACCAGGCCATGGCGACAGCAGGCGTGGGAGAGGTGGAACAGCGTACGGGTCAGTGGAGCACGGAGGATGGGACAGGACATGTGTGTCTGTCAGGTGGCGCAAGCGGTCAATACAAGGGCATGTGAGACAGGATGGAGGAGCACTAATGGGGCAAGGACCAGAGCAGAGGCACATGAACCATCCGATGGGCCAAATGAGGGCGGTGCGACGTCACCCAGTGTGCAGTAGTGCCACACGGGGCATGGCAAACGGTAGGCGTGGGTCAGGGGGGCAAGTTGTGCCTCAAGTGGAGCAAGGGGGAGTGGGAAAGGAAGTATGGGAGAGGTGGAGCAACGATTCAAGACAGTGAGGGACAATGATGGCAACATGGAGTAATGATGGCAGCATGGAGTAATGATGGCAGCATGGAGTAATGATGGCAGCATGGAGTAATGATGGCAGCATGGAGTAATGATGGCAGCATGGAGTAATGATGGCAACATGGAGTAATGATGGCAGCATGGAGTAATGATGGCAGCATGGAGTAATGATGGCAGCATGGAGTAATGATGGCAGCATGGAGTAATGATGGCAGCATGGAGTAATGATGGCAACATGGAGTAATGATGGCAGCATGGAGTAATGATGGCAGCATGGAGTAATGAAGGGCGGACCAAGGATGGGAGTTCTGAGACATATTATCAAAGATGGGGGCATGGGGCACGTATGGTGTGGAGACAAAGTGACAGAGTGACATGAGCCATTCATCGGGGTGGTGGCGGCACAGGACGAGGAGAAGGGGCGCACTGCGGAGGAAGAAGGGCGGAGAGCAGGGGGGAGCAAGGAGGGCGGAGAGCAGGGGGGAGCAAGGAGGGCGGGGAGCAGGGGGGAGCAAGGAGAGAGGGCGGAGAGCAGGGGGGAGCAAGGAGAGAGGGCGGAGAGCAGGGGGGAGGAAGGAGAGAGGGCGGAGAGCAGGGGGGAGCAAGGAGAGAGGGCGCAGAGCAGGGGGGAGGAAGGAGGGCGGAGAGCAGGGGGGAGCAAGGAGGGCGGGGAGCAGGGGGGAGCAAGGAGGGCAAAGAGCAGGGGGGAGAAAGAAGGGCGGAGACCGGGGGGAGCAAGGAGGGCGGAGAGCAGGGGGGAGCAAGGAGGGCGGAGAGCAGGGGGGAGCGAGGAGGGCGGAGAGCAGGGGGGAGCAGGAAGGCGGAGAGCAGAGGGGAGCAAGGAGGGCGTAGAGCAGGGCGGAGCAAGGAGGGCGGAAAGCAGGGCGGAGCAAGGAGGGCGGAGAGCAGGGGGGGGCATGGAAGGCGGAGAGCAAGGAGAGCGGAGAGCAGGGGAGCACTGAGGGCGGGAGAAGTTAACAACGAGCAACGTAGGTCAGTGTGAGGCGCCTAAAATTCGCCTGGATTTCGCATTGTGTTTTCGCCTCCTATTGTAACGTGCGCATCATTGAGGCGCCTGAATCTCGCATTCACTGATGCACGCACCCGTCTCGGCCTTGACGGTGGTCGACACGCGCCGGGAACTTCACATAAAGCTTCGCGTTCTTCTCTTTTCGTCTATTTCCAAAACTTGCGAAAGAAGCGAGAGCGGCCGTCGGGACGAGGACAAGATGTGACACGGGAAGGAAGAAAGCGAGTGGACGCGTCGGGTTAACGGGAGCGGGTGAAGAGTCAACGGGAGGAGCAAGGACCCACCGTTGAAATTCGGCCGGCCGCCGTGACGAGGGAGAGAATTCACTCCGTTTGGGAGAAGCAGAAGCACGCAGAAAAGTGAGTTTAAGACTATGAGGAGGAGGGCAAATGTGGTAACTCGAAATTTCCGCGAGTCTCGTAGGAGCCTCATGGCGACCATGTGAGAGAAGAACGGAGAAGCGCGTCAGCGGAGAACTTTACGACCTTCCCGTTTCTGCGATTTGTGCGTGGACTACAGCGCACTGATCAGAAGTTGCACGCTTTGTTGAGAGATTCTGGACTAGAAGCGCCTGGAGAATAGTTCTGGCTGCACAACGGGGATGAGGGAACAACCAAACCACCGGAAGGCTGGCGCGACTACAAACGAACAAAACGTCATAGTGGCGGGCCCAGCGCGTACATTTACAGGTCACCGGTCGTGGTTCTAAACGATATCAGGGAGTGCTTGACGGTTCTCAAACTTCACCGCTTTGAACCGTGACGCAATACGATTGACCACACATCATGAGCTGTAAACCAGCTGAAAACGTCACGGGCAATATCAATCTCGACGTGCTGCAAAGACGCCATTCGTGCATATTGAATTACTTGGGTACAGTGAAACATCACAAATCTGAAACAACTTACATTCACGATAGGAGTGCAACACGTTATGCCATACAGCGATGCGCTTTTGATAACCGAAGCCACTTGTAACACTGGTGACTGCACAATGCGACTCTACTACTGTCCTAATATCACTCTTAAGCTTTCAGTCTTGTCGTCGCTGTATGCGAGCTTCAGCTGCTGCCCAGCACATATAGGCAACCATCTGTAATAGTGCTTGAGAATGAGGGGTGCAGGGGTCAGTGTGCGCGTTGCTCAATGTAGGACCCAGACAGCCCCGATGTGCCCAGCAGACTAATCTGCAAACATGAAAATGAGAGAAATTACGAAGGAGAGGGGAGGGGAGGGGAGGGGAGGGGAGGAGAGGGGAGGTGAGGTGAGGGGATGCATGGGAGGGGAGGACAGGAGAGAGGAAGAAAGTGTTCTATAGAGAAGGTGCATGTAAGAAGAAACAAAGGGCCCTGATTTGCTCAGCAGACACGTGTGCAGCATGTAGAAATGGAGGAAGCTAGCAAGGTAGAGAGGGGGAAGGAGAGGTGAACCACCGCACTACCTCCCCCTTATCCCCGTTTACCCCACCTTCTCCCCCTCCTTTCAGTTCCCATGATCTTCAGTAACCTCCACCTTCTCTCCCCTACACCCCTCATCCCCAACCACCTGGCCACAGCACTGAACTCGTTCCACTCACCTCTCATATGCCCCCGTCTCCCCACCCTCCCCCATCCTCCCACCTTCTCACTCCCCCTCTCCCCCCCACCCGCACCTGGTTCCACTCCTCTTCAAGCCCACTGCAGCGCTGCTTGACGGTGATGAGCAGCCCGCCCAGCTCCTCCTTCACCTTGCGCTGCAGCCACCCCTCGTCCGCCCCGAACGCCGCCAGGTACGCCGAGTACCGCCTCAGCGCCGACGCCAGCGCCGCCTTCACGTCCTCGGGGATCTTGCCCACCGCCTGCACGCCGGTGGGAGGTTGGACAGGACGAGAGGGAGAGGGGTGTGAGGGGGGTGTGGGGGGGGGGGGGGGGGGGAGATGAAGATAAGGTGCCTTGAGGAGATCAAAAGACCCTCTTTTCTTGCAATGCAAATGCATCCAAATACGCCAAATAGTGCTTGCGAACAGATCACCATCACTGGATGCTGTACCCACATCACTACCATCCTCTCCTCGAGCAGACCCAGCACATCCTCGTTAGAAGCAGGCGCTCACCTCGCCACCGAACTTGCCGCCACTGAGTTCATCGAGCTCCAGGCGCAGCAGCTCCAGCTTCTCCCCAAACACCTCCACCGCCCCCGCTGCCGCCCTCACTGCTGCCAACGCCTCCTTTGCCACCGCGTCACTGATGGAATGGATGATAAGGGGACAGGGATGAAGATGGAAAGACACAAGTCAATGGAAACCGAGCTTCTCCCCAAACACCTCCACCGCCCGCCTCTGCCGCTGCCTTCACCACTGCCAGCGCCTCCCCTTGCCACCGCGTCACTGATGGCACACAGCAGGGGTGGGGAGAGGAGGGTGGGGGAGGGAGGAGGACGAGAAATGGAAATCGGAAGACGCACATAAAACGAGAACGAAGCTCTCCCTGAAGGAGACCTAAATTAGTGAAAAGAAACAACAGCAGGGTCACTGCGTCCACGTGAGATAGGGGTAGGCAGAGGGAGACAAGGGAAATAAGGTGAGATTGGAAACACCAAGCACAGCGTCTTTAACCACTACACCGCATGGGCTGCTGCTGTCAGTCAGCGATGACAGCGCATCTTGCGCCATGTCCTGTATCGCTGACAGATCTGGCATCGCAGATGGGATGAAAGACATGACAGAGCGATACTTGATTGGTTCGACGTGCCTCCAAGATGATTGGTCGGCACTGTTTGTCCAAGATGACAAGGGGGAGAGGAAGGAAACAAGGTGAGGTGGAAAGGTCGGGGGAAATGGAGAGGTTGGGAGCGACTTTCTGCATGTATATTGGCTGTTGGTTGCTTGTTGAATGTTGCATGCTGTCTAGATATAATATGTCGAATCTCGGATGATCAAAACACCTACCTTATAGCTGGAGCCTGGGAGGCTGGGAGGCTGGGAGGCTGGGAGACTCAAGACACCACCTTCAGGGATCAAAAAGACGTCAGCCTCACACTATACTGACAACCGCTGAACTCTTTTTCTCTTTGCGAAGAAGGGGCCAACCTAGGTGAGTCACACGGAGCCAAGCTCACGGCCAGAGTGCTGTCACTGTTGCCAGTGCTGTCACTGTTGCCAGTGCTGCCAGTGCTGCCAGTGCCGCCGACTTACTCGGTGCTTTTGATGGTTTTGTCGATCTTGGCGATCACGGACGCGTCGCACGGCACCCACCCCGTCGCCAGAGCCTCCTTGAGCGTGCTCAGCGCGCTCGGATCGCTGACACGTGGCAGCTTCACGAGATCCTCCGTGGCCGTGATGGCGAAGCCTCGCCGCTGGAAGGATGCCGCTGGTGTGATTAAGAGGAGCCGACAGCAGGGACGGGAGGGGAGGGTAAGGGAGGAGAAGAGGGAAGGAGACGAAGATGGGAGAGTAAGTCGAGGGAGCGAAGGGAAGGGAGAGGAGGGGAGGAGAGAGCTCAAGTCGAAAGTTGAACACGCAGATGGATTTGCCCGAGTTTGGGCAAGTTGAAAGTACGAATAGACCTTAAGTAGTCCGACCGAGAAACTACACTGGCGCTTTCGATCTAAGCACGTCCCGTTACAACTTTGCCGCTAGCGATACCTGACACATGCGATCCGAATGGAACACGCGCGGAAACGGATGCAGACGGCACGGCGGGGGAGGCGGAAGCGGAGGGTGACGAGGTGGCGTATTGCGCGGAAGGTTGCGCTTGCATCAGCGCAGATGCTGCTTGGCGGAAGGCGGGAACGCGCGCGGAGGAAGCGCGGAGGATGTCGGCGGAACGGCGAAGGGTCTGTCTGGAGGCCATGTTGCGGTTGCGCGTCTGGCAGGAGGCGGTTGCGAAAAGTCGGTTGGCTGCCGCGCCCAACGCTAGTGCCGATAGGGAAAGATAATTTCGTTGGTCGCGACTCGCAACGCAACGTATGTGTTGTAAGGTGTGAGCCGAGCGGTGCGAAGGAAGACGGGCAAGAAATGGGATTATCGAGGCAGGAGAATGTGTGTGGGGAGGCACGAGAGGGGCGAGGAGCGCGGAGTCGAAAATGGGGGAGCGGAAAGCCGCAAGCGCGGAGCTTTCATGGCATGGTGCGGTCTGTGCTGGAATTGAGGAGGGCCGATGGAAGCTGCGGATTGGTTGGTATGCTATATGGGACGTGGCGTGGCAGGGAGGCTGTGACAAATATCTCGCATTTGATAATCAACTAATAATTCTTCAAAATCGACAACACTTATTAGAAATACGATTATCTAGCTTTTCATACTTTCAAAGCCTGTTTAAGGAAATACCAACTCATTTTATTTATTACACCAATCAAACCACTTACCTAGCTATTTAACTCTTCACAAATCCCTCAAAACGACTTGGGAAATACCCTAGAAACGCCACAAGCAACGGGGCTGTGACAGCAGTGGAGAAAATAAGAACGAAAGCATGCACACCTAGACCATTGGCATGCAACAGACGCTAGCTACTATCTTCCACGACAAAAAGTAGAGGAAAAACAAGCAAGCAGCACTTCAGATCTCCACTGCTCTTGCAACAAACTCTTCCCTGCTCAAACAGGATATCATCTTACCGTATCACTCCTTGCCCCAAGTTTCCAGCTCCAATCTCTCTCGCTCCTACTGTCCCGTGGCAGTATCACAGCAAATCTCCTCTCCAGCATCGCTCTTGCAGCACTGAGGCGCGGCGCCATTATTCGGGGGCATGCAGCACTGCTTGCCGCAGCAGAACGTGCCGAGGTCCCTTCCCAGCAGGTCCACACTGGGGCAGCACTCCGTCGCTCCCACCGTCCCATCCGCCGCCGACGCACCGCAGCACTTGGGCTTGGTGAGGGGGTTGCAGCAGGTGGAGCCGCAGCAGTGGTTGCGCTCCTTGGGGCAGCACTGGTCGCCGCAGCACTTGGTATCGGGCGGGCAGCACTTGTTCCCGCAGCACTCCTGCCCCGCCTTGCAGCACTGCGCGCCGCAGCACGTCAGCCCCGTGGGGGCTCCAGTCGTGGGGTTCACCTGAGGACAGCACGTGCCGCTGCCCAGGGTCGTGCCGGGGATGGTGCAGCAGAGGGACTTGGAGGCGAGGTCGCAGCAGGTCTTCCCGCCGCAGCACCTGCTGCCGCCCGTGCAGCACGCCGCCCCGCAGCACTCGTTGCCCGTCTCCTTCCCATCGATGTTCAGCAGCGGGCAGCAGTCAATAGCCGGAGCCGTGGTTCCCGTGGAGATGGACGAATTGCCGCAGCACTGAGGCTTGAGGCGCCGCTCGCAGCACTTGTTGGGCCCGCAGCACTGGAAGCCCGGCTTGCAGCACGTGGCACCGCAGCAGTCGCCGTCCAGCGGGCAGCACTTACCCCCGCCGCAGCACTGCGTCCCCTTGGGGCAGCAATTGCCTTCCGCGCAGCAGCTCTCACCAATCTTGCAGCACTGCAGCCCGGCCACGTCCTGCTTGGGCCTCTTAGCCAGCATGCCCACGGACCGACCCAGCATGGCGACAGCAAACTCCTTGGCGTTGCCGGCGACGTTGATGGTGGGCTTGCAGCAGAAGGTCTCAGCCGGGCAGCACTTGCCGTCGCCACAGCACACGGTGCCCTTCTTGCAGCACGTCTTGCCGTCCTGGCAGCACTGGCTGCCCTCGGGGCAGCACGTCTCCTGGGGGGTGCCCTCCCTGTCCGTGCAGCACGTGTCGCTCTTCACGCAGCACTTGCGCCCGCAGCACTGGTTGCCCGTCAATCCGCCAGTCGTGGTCGCAGCAGGGCAGCAGTCCCCCTGCAGCTCCACTGGCGCCCCAGTATCATCGAAGCCCTTGATGGCGCACAGCAGCGGCTTCAGCGTCGCGTCGCAGCACGTGTTGTTCCAGCACGCGCCTTTCTGCACTGGACAGCACTGTCCGTCGCCGCAGCACTGGAAGCCGGGCTTGCAGCACGTGGACCCGCAGCACTGGGTGCCTTCCGGGCAGCACTGGTCCAGCGGAATCCCATTCTCGTCCTTGCAGCACTGAAAGCCCTTTCCGCAGCACCGCTTCCCGCAGCACTGGTTGCCCGTCTCGCCGCCGTTGGCGTCCAGCCGCGCGCAGCACTCCCCGGGCTTGCGGTCGTAGCCCACGCAGCACTGCGCGAGGACCTTGGGGTCGCAGCACGTGCTGCCGCAGCAGGTGGACTGCAGTCCCGTGGACGTCTGGCTCATGGGGCAGCACTTGCCGTCGCCGCAGCACTGCGTGCCGGGCGCGCAGCACGTCTGCCCGCAGCACATGGTGCCCTCCTTGCAGCACTTGCCGTTGCCGCAGCACTTGGTGCCCTTCTCGCAGCACGTCTTGCCGTCGTCGCAGCACGTCGCGCCCTCAGGGCAGCAGCGGTTGAGCGGGTTTTGGCGAGCATCCCTGCAGCACACGGAGCTCCCCTTGCAGCACGCAGTGCCGCAGCAACGCAGACCCGTCGACGCGCCGTCCGCCGTCACTCCCGGGCAGCACGTGCCCAGCAGGCCGATGATTTCCGACGGCCCGGGTTTCCCGGGTTTCGCGGCAGTAGGGAGGAGCGCGTTGAGGAGCGCGGTGCCGGTGGTGAGCACCTGGGTGCAGCACTGCGGCTGGAGCTTAGTCTCGCAGCACTGCCCGTTGCAGCAGGAGAAGCCGGGCTTGCAGCACTTGCCGTTGCAACACGCGGCGCCGACGGGGCAGCACTGGCCGCCGCAGCACTCTGCGCCCTGGTCGCAGCACTTGCCCTTGCAGCAGCGCTGCCCGCGCGCGCAGCACGCCTTGCCGTCGCAGCAGCCCGTGCCTTGCGGGCAGCAGTTGGCGCCGCAACACTCGCCCGCGCAGCACTGCGCGTTGAATTTGGTCGTCCCGCAGCACTTGTTGGCGTTCGCGCAGCATTTTCCGCCGCAGCAGCGGCCCTCCTGGTTGCGACAGCATTCGCCGAAGATGGCGGGGTTGAGCTTGAAAGGCGTGCAGCACGACACGCCGAACTCCTCACCGCCTAGGCAGCACTTCCCGCCGCAGCATTTGGGCCCAACCTGAAATAAACGGCGAGAATTCGGAAGGACATGTTTGGAAGAAATACTTGCAAAGAACCAGAGATACCAGAAATATAAGGTTCCAAGTGTTGTAATAAAAAGTGTTGCAAATTGCTTAGTAGGTAGAATCCCCAAAGCCCAATAAAGGGTATACTGCTGTAAAGTCGAGGGTTCGATACTGGGCTGGCACATGTAACATAAGAAACTCTCAGTGTCTGCAACCTATTCGCAAAACGGCTGATGACAGCGCCTCCAGCGGAAGGCTAAAATTAAAAGCTTAATGGTAGGAAAGAAAGAAAGAAAAAAAAAAAAAGAACAAAACACACACAAAAAATAAGGGGGTACCTGGCAGCAGCTGCCGTTGCAATAGATGGACTGATCGACGCATTGCTGAACATTCGGGACCTGCCGACTCGTTGAAGCAGTAGTGGGGATGACCGGACACAAGCCATTAGGGTCCACGCACGCCTGAAGCCTTCGCGATTCCACTCGCGACGCGGGAGCAACTCCAGCGGAGCAGAGAAGAACGACGCAGCAGAGAGCGAGAGACAAGATGGCTCTGGTATTCGTCGCCATGGTAGTCTTATCGTGCTCGTACTCCGATTGCGTAAGGAAACTCGTTCCTTGAAACTCAAGCTTATACCGCGTGGCGATCTTGTTTCCAAAGAGTTGGCGACTTATGCTTGCTGAACAAGGTTGATTGCCATTTTGTAGAAATCTTGCTTGGGGAGGCTGATTGGAAATCTGGGGGAGTGACGAGGAGCACCCAGCCAGGCAGTACTGTAACGGAACGTCGTCGCACACTGTCAAGAGAGGCGACGCCAGAGATCGAGTCAGCAGGCAACAGCCGGGCCTGCAAACCACCTTCCCCAAGCACAGACCCCAGTGGGCTCCAAAGCCGAGGCTGGAAGTGAGCTCCGTTGGTTTGGATGTGGTGGAAAGCTGGGTAGGGAATTCAGGTTACCCGTAAAAAAAGTACCAAGCGTCTAGAATATTCTGAACGTCCCATATACAAAAAATATATATATAGAACATCAACTCAACGATTTGCAATTGCACCAAGACGACGTTCCTAGCAAGTTTTGCTGGGGAAAACTAATATCAATCACCGTTACTACAGTGAAATCGTCCTCGCCCGTGAACCTGACACGTGGAGCAAAAGTGCTGCTTTGGGCATGCTACAGTTGTGGTGGCTGAACTGTATTCCGGGCAAAATGCGGCGGGATATTTTTAACGGCATTCAACTCATGCCAGGGCGATTATGCAGATGCATACAATAGACGGCCGTAGGGGAAAGGGGCTGACGGACTGTTATCTGCCCACGGTCAGAAAAAAACAAAAATCCATCTGGATGGCATGCGATTGAGGGAGCCCCAAACCTAAACACGGGTAACCGCATGATTTTGCCGGCAAGCCGACAATTTTCCCTGAACCGTCTATTGTATGCATTTGCAAGCTGCACTAGTAAAATCTGCATGCGGTAGGTAAAACCCGAAATGCGGCAGACACCCCTCGTTTTCACGTGAGAATGGTGCAGCGGGGGAAACAAGCTTCCAAACGAGACATCCCTGATTGACTTTACACAAGCCACAAGGGACGCAAGTAGCGAAAAAAACACTGGTGGAAGGTTGGCAGGTGGCCATGCACACGAGACGATACCACCGACACTAAATCTTGACACCTGCCCGGAAATCTTGTAAGGGCTCCAATCTGCCGAAGTGTAACGTGTAAGGGCTGCTGGCCGTACCAAAATCACTCTTGCTCAAACAAGGGGCAGTCGTGGCCAAAACGGAAAGGATTGCTGCCGCC